AACCCGTGTTAAACAGGATTTTGTATAATATGTTAAAATTATAGAATTTATTAAGCCTTACCAGGGAGGTTATTATGGTTACAAGTAAGTTTTAAGGCCTAATTTCATGTTTGTAATTAATTCACATATATAGTACCTTAAGATTTATGAATTGCTTCCTCCTCATAATACTCTATGGAACTGAATGGAAAAACTACTGACCTCTTTTTCTAACCTTTTAAATATATCACTAGAACCAATGAGCACTGGACCAGTAGTAAGAAGGGTTGGGCTCTAGTCCTGATTCTACCACAAATGAAATATATGATCTAAAGTCAATCACTTAAACCTCAGGGCCTTGTTCTCCTCCTCTTAAAAGAAAGGAGTTGTACTACATGACCACAAAGTCTTAACGCAATGAGATTTTGTATAGCATGACAGTCTCACTACTTCAGTGACATTACTAATTTCTGTCATAAACAAAAGCTCAGAATGAATGGGACAACATTCTGTTCTTAGATGAATCTCACATCTTTTTCCCAGTCAGTTTGCTTATGGCAAATGATTTCCACTTCATAAATTGCAGAAGAGGAGGTGGGGGGGGATGGAGAAGGCACTTAGTGATAGCACCTTTAACATATTTTATCAAAAGAACTTATGAAATATTTATTTGTCTACTATCTCTTGCTTTTGCTTCAAAGTGAATAGGCAGATATATAATAAGAGATGGAAATATTAAGGAAGCTTTTTATCAGGAGGCAAAGGAAATCTTGTCAGAAGAAACATATTGGCCTAGAGGATGCTCTTTGATCTATGGGGATGAAGCTTTTGGTGCCTTAAATGCCCTCATACTCAGGTCATGTAGCCAATTTAAATGAAATGACCCATTTGCTTTCAACTTTTCTGAGAGCATAAGAAAAGACTTGACAATTATTAGCAATAAGTATCACATCAATAGGATAAAAAAAAGTAATATAATATCAGTCTAGTCTTTTAGAACTTTCTCTTGGACTGCCTTGACAAAGATAAAAAGGAAGATTATGTAGTGCACTTATCACTAGTCACTAGTCAATGAGTAAAAGCTCAGTAGCTGGCTAAGTAAACTTAGACAAGTCTGTGTTAAGTGGCTGGTTCCGACCAAGTGTTTGGTTTGGCTTGGTTTGGTTTCAGTTTTGTCTGGTTTGCCAAAGTGTTTTTCATCTATAAAATAAAGAAATAAGACTTGATCTGACTAGATCTGCTAATGTGATTTTTATGCTGCACTGAGACTCATCCCTTCCAGGAATAAGGGATGATCTCCTTGCACAATTCCCTGACCAGACCAGATCTAAAGTATTGTTTTGGTCTCATTTTTAAAAGCAACATTAATAAGTTGATGAGCATTGGTTGAAATAATTATAGGGGATAATTAGACTAGAAAAGAGAAAGTAATGAGAGAGGAAAAGAGCACAACAGGTGCCTCCAAAAGTATTAGGCTTCTTCTATCTAGTTTCACATGATAAAAGGAGTAATGTGTAGGGAGCATAGACATAAATGTAGGCCTGATACCGGGGAAAGTACACACACACACACACACACACACACACACACAGAGCCTCCTAACAATTAAAGCTATCCAGATACTTAATGAATTGCATTGAGAGGTAAATATCCCATCATTGCATAGGTTTGAAAATCACTTACTGGAATTATGTAATAATTCTTATAGAATAAAGGAAGGAAAACAGAGTCTGGGGCGGGGAACCTATGAAGCACTTGCAGCAAGATAAAATTCTCAGTCAGAAAATTCTCATGTATTTCCTACTGAAATGAAGACCTATCCCAGGATATAGTTAACATAGGTTTTTTTCAGATGGAGGTCCTATACTTTCCTTGAAGATAAGGCTAGTTGGTCACTTTTTGGGAATTTTTTATCAAGTATGGAGTAGACTTATGTCTGATGATGTTTCTTGTGATTCTCAGCTTCTGTGGATGTGTAATTCTGTGACTGTGGCATGGTTGCATGTGCTGGTATGTTGGAAATAAATAATAGCAGATTCTGAGAAAAGCACAGTGATTGGGACTATTCAGTGTGGCAGTTAATAATGTTATACACCTCATTAGCTTATGTTATCATTCAGGGCTATACAAGAACTAAGGTTTCAATGACATAGATATGAACTCCCTCATCATAGATCACAACTCCTACCTTCTTGAAGAAACTATTTCTTGCATCTTCATGTAGCCAGAAAAATATGTCATCTGAACACCAGATTTCTTGTGATGAACTGGCTAGATCTTAGATAAAAGGAAGTTTGTCATTTGGGTATGTTCTTACAATAATTCTAGCTTAGTAGGACTTGCTAGAATTTGTGATTATTAGTATTATATTTGTTAAAGGGGAGTCTACTCCATTTTATGATGAGGTAGTAGAGGAAGATGTTGGTGAAGAACTGAGGACATTGTCAATAATTGATTTATAAAAACTTAAGGCATCAAGAAATTGTAAAAAATATTTTCAGCAGCAACTTTAGTAGGAATAAAAGTGTGCAGTAGATTTTTAAAAAAATGTTTGCAACACAATTGATTCAAATTTTAGACATTTAGACACTTGAAAAGGCTAAGCTTCAGTTACCTTAAATATTGACTAATCCATAATGCCAAGTAATGTGTATGATTTTGACTGTGAGCCAAAATTCATACAAATCCTCTGCACTGAAGGAATTATATCCTTTTTTTATAGTTGATTCTCATTAATATGTATCTATTTAGGGAAATATATCAAATTAGTAAAGAAATCTGAGTTATGGAGTATTTAAAAGACTTCATTTTATTACCTTCAGTTAAAGAGTTGCCTAGTAGTAATCCTCAAGAAACTTGTGTTGCGATGTACATGTAAACAACTGATGAACAAATAATTCTTATGTTGCAATGAATGCATCCAAAACATGCAAACATCCTTGAAAAGAATGCTTTATCTGTACAAAGCAATCATAATTTTAAAGACTCCTTCACAAATCCTATTAATGTTAATAATTTTACCCTTTCTGTGAAAAAAATATTTTTCTATATTCACTCTGGTTGGCAAATACCTTTCTTTTATGAAGATCTTCAGGGGGCCCTGTGATGTCACCTAGATACAGGATATATCAGGGGTTTGAAAGAATGGAATAGAAAACTATTTATTAAATGTTTGCTGTTTGTAAATTTCTATAAGGGCTGGAAATACAAATACAAAAGTTGAGATAGTTCTTGTTTGCTAGGAACTCACTTTCTAATCTAGAGAGCCAGCAAATAAAGGAGGGCTCATACTTATGATCATTTCAAGGAAGATGAATAGGCTCCATAGTAATTAGGGAGAAAGGCAGATGACAATGCCCTGAGGGCATTGGGTAGTAATGGCAAGTTAGATGGACTGTATCAAAACAGTCTATCAAAGTCTCCGAGAGAATTAAGTGGAGACAATCTCCATCACCTTAGTTTATTTTGCCAAACTTTTTGCCAAGCAACTCAGAGAATTAGGTTCATTGTCTTTTGGAGATATTATAGGAGAAAAAAATCTTTAAAATGAAAAGCTGAGGAGTCCTCCCCCCCAAAAAAAAATTCAATCACATTACTGAGACTTAGGGGAAAAATTATATTTTTCTGTTCTGTCCTAATTTTTATTTTGAGGAATTTTTCATTTTGAAGAATGCTCTATTGGATTCCCAGTCTCTCAGTGACTTTTTACTCTGAGAGTTGGCAATTAACTTTTAAATCAAATTTCTGGTTGTTCTAGTCCAAAAGCATGGCAAATTTCACTGTCTTAAAAGAAAACTCATTTTATATGTGCACTTTTATATACCAGTTCATTTTGAATGAACCTTTATTCCAAAGATAAAGACTTTTTAAAAAACATAAAAAATGTATTTAGCATTTTCCTTAGAGTGTGTTCACTGGCATCTAGAAGCAACATTTTATGTTTTATGCATAGTTAAATAGTCCCAAGGAATAACCTGTGGGAATATAATGTCTGGAAGAAAACCTGTCATAAATGTAGTACTAGCTCTATTCAGAAGTCCTTAGGCATGCAGGAGGTTTCTTTCCATAGCTCTAGAAGAGTGCACATACAAATTAGAATGTTCTCCTTCCTAAACAACAAAGACACAGGATTCAGTTAATTCTAAAGAATTCTAAAGAAGAATCACAAGTAAGCAATCAGAAAAGTTGATGTTTTGCTAATATCTGGTTGTCACTGAGATGTTCAAAGGGGCATAGGCCTACATCAGATTGTAGAAGAAATATGCAGTCAGGGTTTATATAGTGAAAACTAATGATAGAAAATGTGGGCATTTCATAGGGGATCCTGCGTTAGTTAATGTTTACAATTCATGGCCCAGTTGGTATTGGTTAATTAAGAAAATCGTTTGGGATAAGAAAGCATTCATGAACGATTGTGGGTTTTTTACACAGTTCATAATAAGCCCAGAGACTTAGGGCAGCATTTCAATGTTCAATAGAAACAGGACTACATAATGAATTTATTTCCTAGTTGGCTTATTATTTACTTAACTACAGAGCACTTATTTATGACAGAAGAAAATGTTCCTGTTCCATGAAAGAATGTTAACCTTACTTTATCACAATATCGTCCTTTGAGGTTTTTTACTCTACTGAAGAAAATTGATGAGTATTTCAATATGCAGGATTCCTCTAAATTCTGATGAATTCAGCCTGCATAATTTAAAGTGAATGTTTGAAAATAGATGGTTTTATTTGATAGCATGTAGATTTTGTATTAATGAAGTCTGGTAGATATATACAACATTGTGTACATCTACAAAAATAATATATTCAGGAACAGTTTGGAAGATAACTCAATCTGTGAATGCATCCACTTAAAGATCTGACCTAGTAAGAGTTTTCATATTATATAACAATATGAATTTATACTTGGATTGATGAATTATGCAGGTTGGAAAAATCTAGCTATTTTATTAGCGGATATTAAAATGTTTTAATTTCTTTTCTATGTAAGTTAACTCTTGTCATTTTATGTCTAGGACAAAGTCCAGCAATACCTCCTCTACTACCGGTTGGACAAGTTTCCCAGTCTGAACTGGCATCATCAGCTCTTGGAGGCAAGTTCCTTGTTTCTTTTTCAGAGACTTTCTTATTTCAAATAACAACCCCTTCTTGATGGTGTAGCAGGATTTTCAATGCCATTCTCCCATCTTACCTTAGAATGTTGTTGTGAGGTGATTCATTCTTTCTTGGTATTTCATATATATTGATACCCTAGAAAACCACATTATTTCCCTACAGAATTCTAAGCTGGTGATCTTCAGTTTTAGGAAGTCTACCCCATAAATGGGCAGGGAATATTAAGTCAAAGATAAATTCTACCACGCTTGTTTTTGTAAATACACTTGCTGAAGGTGGTCTTTGCATGCCTTAGAATGCTTACAATATGCCTCTGTGAAAGAAATGATGCTGCAAGAAATGAACAAATTGAAATCAATACATGTAAATATAGGTATTGCTGAGGGGTTTTTTGGTACATGGTAGATGCTTAGAGTAAATGTCAAAATGTGATGCTGAATCCAAAACTACTATTTTCTTTATATCTGAGAGAATCAATAGAAGAAAGGATAAAGTGTAGAAATGCCTATTATAAAAAATTAAAATTCACTACATTGTTAGATTGGAACCCTGACATGGTGTTCTTATTTAAGGCAGAAAAAAAGCCAGGACTTTGGTTTTAAGCGTCATTTGTCAACTCTCAGGATAACCAGGAACTGGAAAATTCAGCAACCTATAACTTTTCTTTAAAAAGTATCTATGTCTTTAAAAAAATACATAGAAATGGAGAGGTAACTCTTTTATTCCCCCAAACCTTAACATTGACTTGATTTTTATAGAAGAAAAGCTCTTCACTTTTTATTGTGTTTCCCTTTAACTGTTATTTTTAAGTGCCAGCACTGGTGTTACTCCATATATTATTCCTACCCTTACCTCTATTACATTTTACCCTGTATCATTTCACGTACTATGTAGATACTGTACTCCCCCTTACTTCTACATATGCCACCCACCCCTATTACCTTATAAACTTGTTCACTGCAAGTATTGAAAACCTTTAATATTTAGATCTCCAAATACCAGATACAGTGCTTTACATATAACAGTCACTTAATGAACTACTTTTTAACTGAATTAAGAACTCTCTCACATACATTCCCCATCTTGAGTTTCCTAGCTGTGACAATACACTTCTCTTAAATGTTTAATCATCTCAGTTTTCTTCTAATAAATGTAGAACCATTTGTACCATCGCATAACCTATCTGTCTTCCATGGATATCTGCAGAAATGATGGCAGTGTTAACCCATAAATTTAGTGCTCTCCTGGTGGTAGGGAACTTGGAAAGCTATCTTTTAGATTGGATTTTGTTTGCTTAAAGACACTTTCATATGACAGGCTTTTCACCAACAAATTTGGGGTTCTAGCCAATAGCTTAACACACAGTCACATAAGGTGGAACACTGACAAATCTGTGAGGAGAGATGGTTGTATGAAGGTCCTCCTTGTCACAAGCAAAATAACTTAATGAACTAAAGCAACAGTTTTAGTTCTGTGTCTGGACCTCTTTGGCTGCCAATATATTTGACCCAAGGAATATTTGCTGAGTATTGGTTCAGTCCTTATCCCTTCATCCTGTGGCAGATAATTGTAGCTTAATGTCTATGGGTATCCACAAAAGGTTTTCAGACATAACTTTTGATTCAATAACAACTTCATCCAGGAATGAAAAGTTTTGTGGTTGAAGGGCAGAGCTAAGAGGACAGAGAAAAGACAGGAACTCATCTGAGCTCTCCCCCAAACCCTTCTGAACACCTTCAAATAATTCCCCAACACAAATTCTGTAATAGCACAACCCAAGAGTGGATGGGGTGACACAATTTTCCAGCCCAAGACAACTTAGAAGGTCAGCAGGAAATTTCTGTCATGCAGAGGTGATGTGGTGAAGTTGGGGGGAGTTGAGTGCAGTCCAGTGCAGGCTGAGTCAGTGAAGATCTAACCCCAGCAAACCAGGAGCAGGCCTTGGGAATGACTGAATCAGCAGCAGCAGCTACTACTTTCAGAACTCTCAACCCAGAGACAGTAAGGGATAGAACAGCTAGTTAGAAGGTGATTACAGGAGTCCTTTTGCTGGCACCAAACACATGATTATGTTGCTTTACACATACTTGGATCAGGGTCACAGTTCCATGTAGTAGTCCCAGGGCAAGGAGGAGCACTAGCACATCAGAGCTTGTAGCCCAGTGGAACGGGACCCTCATCACAGTTCCAGGGCAAAAAGGAGTGTTTGTGGTTCATCAAAAATCATAGCACAGGCCAGAAGAGTAGTAAACACACCTCTCCTTAAATCATACCACCTTGGAAGAACTGAAAAATGACAGGTTTCTAGCTCTGAAAACAGCTGCACAAAACTCCTGAAGCTTGGGACAGTGTATCCTCCACTCTGGAAGCAGAGCCCCATTTTAGCAAACAGCTAAAAATCAAGAGATAGAATGGAAAAATGAGCAAAGAACAGAAAAAATTCTGACTATAGAAAGTTACTATGGTGACAAGGAAGATCAAAACATACCCTCAGAAGAAGATAACAAAGTCAAAGCTCCTACATCCGAAGTCTCCCAGAAAAATATGACTTGTCCTCAGGCCATGGAAGAGCTCAAAAGGGATCTTACAAATCAAATAAGAGAGGTAGAGGAAAAAATGGAAAGAGAAATAAGGAGGATTCAAGAAACTCATGAAAAAAAGAATCAACAGCTTGGTAAAGGAGGTGGGAAGTAGGCACAAACATCTAATGAGGAGAAGAATGCCTTGAAAAGCAAAATGGGGGGTTGGGGGGTGGAGCCAAGATGGCTGAGTGAAAGCAGTGACTTGCTTGAGCTCTCCCCCAAACCCATCCAAATACCTGCAAAAAATGGCTGTAATCAAATTCTAAGGCAGCAGAACCCACAAAAAGACAGAGTGAAGCAAATTTCCAGCCCAAGACAGCCCAGATGGTTGATCAGAAAGGTATATCACACAAGGCAGGTAGAAGAGCGCAGTTTGGGGTGAGCACGCACCCTGTAGCAAACCTGGAGCAGGCCTCAGAGGACTAAATGATGGGCAGTTGAGGTGGTTTCCAAATTTCTCAACTCATGAGTGTCAAAGACAACTTAGAAGGTCAATGGGAAAAGTCTGTGTCTGAAGTGAGAGAGAGAAGTGAGGTGGTCTCAGCTGCAAGTCTTGAGCATTGCCCCAGGGTGGGAGCTGCCTCCTGAGCTTCTGGCCCACAGACTGAGGGAGAATCAAGTGGCTTATTAGAGGGAGATTGCAGGGATCTCTTTGCTGGTGCAGAATTCTCTTGCTTTGCCCATGCTTGGAACTGGGTCACAGTTCTGGGTGGCAATCCTGGGGTGGGGAGGAGTGCTGGTGTAGTGGAAATACCTCGCCCCTTATCATACCACCTTGGAAGAACTGAAAATTTACAGGTCCATAGAGGTATCTCTGAAAACAGCTGTACAAAAACCCGAAGCCTGGGATAGTACCTTCTCCACATTGGAAGCAGACTCTTACCTTAACAAAAACTTTAAAACTCAAGTAATTGGCTGGGATCATGAGAAACCTCACAAAAAGAGTTAGACTATAATATCTTACTTTGGTGACAAATAAGACCAAAACATACAACCAGAAGAAGACAGCAAAGTAAAAGCTCCTATATCCAAAGCCTCCAAGAAAAATATGAATCAGTCCCAGGCCTTGGAAGAGCTCAAAATGGATTTTGAGAAGCAAGTAAGAGAAGTAGAGAAAAAAACTGGGACGAGAAATGAGAATGATGCAAGAAAATCATGAAAAACAAGTCAACAGCTTGCTAAAGGACACCCCAAAAAATATTGAAAAAAGTAACACCTTAAAAAATAGCCTAACCCAAATGGCAAAAGAGGTCCAAAAAGCCAATGAGGACAAGAATGCCCTAAAAAGCAAAATTGGACAAATGGAAAAGGAAGTCCAAAAGATTATTAAAGAAAATACTTCCTTAAAAATTAGAATAGAGCAATTGGAAGCTAGTGACTTTATGAGAAATCAAGACACTGTAAAACAAATCCAAAAGAATGAAAAATTAGAAAACAATGTGAAATATCTCATTGGAAAAACAACTGACCTGGAAAATAGATCCAGGAGAGATAATTTAAAATGATTGGGCTATCTGAAAGCCATGATCACAAAAAGAGCCTAGATGTCATTTTTTTCAAGAAATTGTCAAGGAAAACTGCCCTGATATAGTAGAACCAGAGGGCAAAATAGAAATTGAAAGAATCCACCGATCTCCTCCTGAAAGAGATCCCCAAAGGAAAACTCCTAGGAATATTGTAGCCAAATTCCAGAGTTCCCAGGTCAAGGAGAAAATATTGCAAGCAGCCAGAAAGAAACAATTCAAGTATTGTGGAAACACAATCAGGATAACATAAGATTTAGCAGCTTCTACATTAAAGGACCAGAGGGCATGGAATATAATATTCCAGAGGGCAAAGGAGATAGGATTACAACCAAGGATCACCTACCCAGCAAAACTGAGTATAATCCTTCAGGGGAAAAAATGGTCAATCAGTGAAATAGAGGACTTTCAAGCATTCTTGATGAAAAGAATAGAGGTGAATAGAAAATTTGACTTTCAAATACAAGACTCAAGTGGAACTTGAAGAGATAAACAGGAAAAAGAAATCATAAGACTTATTAAAGTTGAACTGTTTATATTCCTGCATGGAAAGATGATACTTATAGCTCATGAGACCTTTGTCAGTATTAGGGTAGTTGGAGGGAAAAAATTATATGTATGTAGATAGATAGATAGGTAGGTAGGTAGGTAGGTAGGTAGAGAGCACAGGGTGAGTTGAAGATGAAGGGGTCATATCTGGAAAATAAAATTAAGGGATAAGAGAGGATTATGCTAGGAGAAGGAGAAAAGGAGAGGTAGAACAGGGTAAATTATCTCACAAAAAAAGAAAAGGCTCTTACAGTGGAGTAGAAATGGGGGAAAGTGAGAGGGAATGAGTGGATCTTATTTTCATAGGGTTTGACTTAAGGGGGGAATAACATACACACAGAATTGGGTATGGAAATCTGTCTTGCCCTACAAGAAAATAGGAGGGAAAGGGGACAAGA